AAGATGTTATTGAAAAAGACCGACGCAGCACCAAGAATTTGCTGCACCCCAGTCACCGTGCGACCACCTTCCCTTAGCTCCTTGATTTGAGTGCGAGCCTTCTTCGCTCGGACTTTTGCAGACAGATGTTTTGAGGCGATTTCACCGGTCAGCTCCTCTTTCAATCCGGCCTGCAGGTGCAGCCTCTCCCTCCTCGCTTCCTGGTACGATTTCAGCTGCAGTTCCTTAGCTGCAAGCGCATCCCGTGTAATACTGCATGTCGGATTCCGCATCAACTCTTGTTTCAGCAGCGCAACCATGCTGACCAGATGACCCAGTGTTTTCTTAACACGTTTGCTTTCCTCCCGTGCATACGCCCTTAAACCCGCCCCCAGCCGAGCAAGTAGGAGCTCAAAGCTGCTGCCATCTTTCACCGTCGTTCTGCAAACTGTAGCCTCAATAATTTTCCGCACTCCCGGCCTCCGTACCATCGAGGCATGAAGCCTCCAGATGCCCGGACCTGTGCAGATTTTCTCATCCAGACGGAAAGCAACTTGGATCGCGAAACCATGGTCCGAGATGGGCTCCTTCGGCATGTCATGCCTGGCGGTAACAAGGTGAGTTAAAAGCGATTGTGAGACAAGTGCACGATCAATGCGAGTGCTGCAGCGATGCGAGTGCGCATAGAATGTGTATTCTCTGTCCCGTGGGTGCAGAGTGCGAAAGGCGTCGGAAAGTTGGAAAGTGGTGCAGCGCAAGAGGAGCTTCTCATTTTCAGTCGACGAGCCTGAGCCTGAGGATCTGTCCAGCTTTGGATCGTCCGTCAGGTTCAAGTCACCGATGATAAGAAGGTGAGAGGAAGGCGGAACTGTGTCAATGACCGGGCCAAGGACATCTCTGATGAAGGCGGAGCGAGGAGTAATGTGTGACGGAAGGTAAACGGCAACCAGTGTGAGGTCTAGTCCAGTCCCTTTAACTGCTGTCTTGACTATTCTACCTGACGGGTGTAACTCCGTGTCATGAAAAGTGATGTTATCATCGCTACAGAGGATTGCTACTCCGCCAGCGCTGGCTCTAGGGGGATTAACTAAGGCTTCGTACGAGGTGAGTCTTGACCAGAAGGAATGGCTATTATCTATCCTAGTGTCAACCAGTACAGCAATGTCCGCCGAATCTTTCATCCATTTGGTAACTCGCTCCTGTTTTATTCTATTTGTTCCTAAGCCGTTGACGTTTAGGCTCGCGATGGTGAGGTGGTTTTTATTAATCATTGATACACTGTCTTGCAGCCCCTGATCATCCACAGGCTGAGAAATGAGGCGACGCAAGCTACACTGACTCCTAAACACCAACAGGCTGCTGCGTCAAGGTAACGGTCGAGCTCAGTCACAGTTTGTACTCCGTGCGAATGACATCCAGGTTCAGTTTGTCGAGCGACTCCTTCGTGGCCGGTCCATCTTTCTTCAGCTCGAGCAGGTGAGCAGCAGCAGTGATGTGCTGGACGGCAGCCATAAGACTCTTCCCTTTTGCTTTTCCGCAACTCGCTAAAGTGCAGATCCAGTCTTCCTTGCTGCTGCCGGTGGAGACGAGAGCGATAGCCGGATCTCGGAGGATGGGAAGAAAAAACGAGGAGGCTTTCAGCGACGCAGCTGCGAGAGGTCAGAGAGAGATTAGTACGTGAGAGGGAACGTCGAAGCTGACAAAGAGCGAGAAGAAAACTGCTGCTGTTACCGTTAAGTCTGTGCACACTGCCAAGGGTTAGTTTCCACTTGCTAACATTATTCTGACGCTCAGTGACAAAAGCATCGTGATACTTATCATAATGCTTGCCGCCACAAAGTGAGCAGGTCAATGAAGGGTACTGAATGAGCAACTTCTTCGCCCTGTCAGCAGGATCAGCGATCATGTGAATCATGCGACGATTCCTGTTCTCAGGGTGAGCGTAGACAAGTCCCTTAACGACGCCCGTGTCAGCACCAGTGACGGGATGAAGCACACGATGCAGACACGAGCAGCGCAGGAAGGCCGACCGCTTTGTGCTGGTAAGCGGGTAAGTCGCCATGCGATCATGAATGAGGACCAGCTCAACGGCTGCGGAGACACCGGTGATCATGAACTCGATGGCGAGCGGATTCATTGCCTTCTCACGAGCAAAAGCCGCATCCTCCGTATGTTGCTAGTGAAGAGAAATGAGTTGTCCCTTGTTCGCCAGCGGTTGATATATCACTTCCTTTTTCCGCACCCATTCCGCATCTGACTCCTTGAACGATACTTGCAGGCGACAATAACGTGTCTTGGCGATATATGTCGTCTTAATCTCCTGAAACTTTGTCGCAGATGCCGCGTCCTCTGATAACTCTGTGTACCATCCATGTGTTATTAGTGCTTTGACAGCGTCAATGATGTAGGAAATCTCCTTGTGCAGCATGAAAGGAATCAGCAAGATCGCGACAGAGCGCAGACCGAGACCAGCTTCCTTGTCCAAGTCGATAACCATTTCCTCATCCGAATCGTAATCAATGAAACCATCGTCATCAGTTACTCCCACGGAAGGTATGGTTGCTTTATCTTCTGCAGACAGTCCAGAACCACCAGAATCTGACGACACCGTCTTGTCAATGCCATGAACTGCAGGGGACTTGACAGTCTTGGAGCTATCAGTCTCCGTTGGAGCAGGCAGAAAAGGGGTCAACCGCGAGCGCTGACCCTTTGGCGGAGCAGGAGCATCAGCAGGATGAGACATTGTGTGATGATGAGTAAGACCAGGCAGCAGGAGAGCGTGCCGAGCACTCTCTGTGAATGCAGTGAATGTCTGGTGACTGAGCACAAGAAATTTAAATAGATCCCTGAACTTGTCTGGCTCCAGGGGTTCCAGCAGTAGATGTTGTAATCTCGAGGTTGAGACCTTGGTAGCTCCATTGATGATGATAGAATAATAGTTATGAAGCGTAGTGTTGTCATTAATATAAAAACCATGACGCGAGCCTGAAACAGCCGTGAGTCTCGAGGGAGCCTGACCTTGACCACGGGAAGCAGCCTTGTAACAGGAGTTACCGATGTCAGCATCAGTGACAGGTAATCCATTCCTAAAGTTAAAGGCAGTACACTTGATCCCAACCTCACGGTTTTGTTGGTAACCCGCGCTCCGGACCTCCGCGTTGACATTTCCCAACCTCGGCGCTAGGCCGTTCGCGCACCGATTTTTCACACATGCCCGTTATCACTGTAGTTTCGCTAAATATTCTTCACTCATGCCTTCGCTCATTGGACTCTGGCTTCGATAATGCAACTCTCGCTCACTCACTCAATTGCACTCGTAACAATTTGTTTTCCATTCAGTAACGATTTTCTTGTACACGATCGCATCCGATTTCGCCCACCCAAGGTGGGAATTCTCGGTTCACCGGTTTCTGCTGTCCAAAAGAGTCTGAGATTCGCGCTGGGTCCCGAGCAGACAGCTCGCAAGTGTCGTATTCCCCTGGTAACCAGGCCCACGCCGAGCTTCACCAGGTGGCACAGGCTGGGCAGCTCGCTGGTCAGCAAGGTCCCCAACCACCCAATTGCTGGTCGGGGAATCGTCCCCAAGGCCACTTCGAGCCTGGTGACTCAGGTAGGGCGCGAGGCTCGTTCCTTGGTTCCCTCGCCAAGTGGTTCGGGCGAGCTGGGCAAGTGCCACCTGCTGGGCATCACGTGGCTCGGGTGACAACGAGGTGAGGGCATCTGCCTCTCTTGCGCCCCCTGTTTCGCGAGCGAGATCTGAGCTGAGGAAACAGAGCCCTTCAGGTTTTTCTGGGCGATGTTCGGCTGCCATACAGAGCCGAGGACTTCAACAGAAGAAATCCGCTGTTGGCTGGTATCATCACAGTGGTTTTTGCCAAACCTTCGAATTTTGTCTAACGGCATCGAACACCTTCGTAGCCCTGAACCCGCAACGACAGTTGGGAGGCACGCGACGCGACAACCACGGCTACTGCACTGTAAGAGTGCAACAGACAGGCAGTCTGTACTGCAGCTTTGTGCAACCTCGACAATTTCTACTGTGTAACTCCGTGCTACAAGAGCTGCCAGAGACGTTGGCAGTGCGCTGTGTAACGATGGAATATGGGACCAATCATATTGTGGGCCAAGATCACTGCCTACCTGTAGAGCAACTTCCTGCACAGTATTCCTGCCTAGTACAGAAAATCCATCGGCGATTCTGCTTCCGTCAAAGCTGGAAATCTCCCCCTATTTGGGCGTTGGTACTTCCAAAAGGTGCGGGATGCATCCGTGCCTATGAACCGCCGTAACATGGTTCTTTTCTTGGTTGGCGTTCCAACGAGCTGTGCATCTGACCTGGCAGGTCCCGTCCTGCCCTGTTAAAATGAGCGACTTAATATCGCCAACGCAAAAAGGAATATCATTCTCCATCATTGCTTCTGTCAGACGAGATACACGTATCTCCGCTCTTCCCGCGAGTCGAGTCAGCCTCCGCCGCCCCATGTGGAGGAGGTCGCAGGGGTGCGACGACGAATCCCATACACTTTCGAATTGTTTGTGATTCGGTGGAGAGCCCCTTTGAAAGCTGGAGTCACTGGCTCAGGAGGGTTTGCACATTTGAAATGCGCAGCATTGCAACGCGGCTTTTGCACATTGTTGCATTCAGCAACCGCAGCAGCGTGAGCATAGCCTCCCTGCATCCCAAACATTTAACAACCTCAGGCAATGCCTGGTCATCACACGTGTGCAATGACGCCTGGGCAAAGTCAATTTTGTGCATGGATTTAGTGCCTGCTGTGGAGTACTACCTGACAGACTAAAAGATTCTCGCTATATTTCTCTTATTTATTCAACTCGGCGAGTGGTTCTGGTACTGCCAGTACAGGCATCACACGCAGTCCGCCTTTTTTCTTTGTTTTCCAAAGTCTAAAAACTAGGGAAATCGAATTCCCCGTTAGACTGTCCGTTCGGAGTTACACGGCTGGGTTAGGGCTCTTCATCGCCTCACTTCGACGAACGTTCTAACAGCAAAGACCGTGTCGATGGCATTGGAGTTGGCTGCACCGACTTTGCACGAGCACTTGGCGAATCCTCGGCAAGCGGCTGGCCGTGAGCAAGAGTGGGGCGGCTGTGACAAGCTATCACTCGGCCCGCAGGAGCTTGGGCTCCGCGGGTTAGCCTCCTGGGAGGAGGTGGCGGCGAAGGTGGTGGCCTCGGATGGACACAGCTGGCTCAAGTACGGCCGGAAGAAAGTGCGCCATTCGGGTGCCACCAGGTCAGTGTTTCATTGGCTTGCTGTGTTTGACCCCATTTACTTTCGTTGACTCGTGTTGACTCTGTGCACTTCTGCTGAATCTGTTGACTCTGTATCATGCCCTTACTATGCTGCTGCGCGGAATCCACCCTCTTGCCCTAGCAGGTGTTACAAGTGCAATCTTTCTAAGGCAATCTGACTCTTTGACTCTGTGTATGCCCTTATGCTGTGCGCCGGAATCCACCCTCTTACCCCGGCAGATGCTACTACAAGTGCAGCATGTCAAAGGCCATTCCTCGCTGCCCCGCCAGGAAGACTGTCGACATCAACTGCCCCGGCTCCATTCACGTCACCTACCGATGCCGCCTCCACAACCACCCCGTAGTTCCCAACCGTCGCTCACCCTACTACCACCCTGACGTTCCTGTCAGCGATACGAACTGCCATGTTGGCCGCCTCAACCTTCCGGAATTACATGGTGTGGATGGCTCTGCGGCGCCTGATACCGTTCGACCTGCTGCTTCTGGTGGAGAACTGAAGGCCGTTGTGCATGCCTTGCGGCATGAGAGCGTGGGAGTGATCGCTTCTGGCAGTGGGTCCGACGCTGGTTGTGCTGCTGTTGCTGCTGATGGTGGTGCTGGTGATGCTGCTTTTCGAGCTGGCGTGGTTGCTATTATTGCTCATGGTGGTGCAGGTATTGTTTCTGTTGCTGCTGATGCTGTTAGGGTTTCCGACGCTGATGCTGATGCTGTAGTTGCTGCTTCTGCTGAGGGTGGTGGTGCTGCTGATGCAGATTGGGCTGCCGATTTGACGGATGAGGTTTTCTCACTGCTGGGAGCAAGATCGCCTTTGGTTCAAGAGCTCCAAGAGTTTTTGCTGCGGCACAGTCTCACCCATGTGGGACTTCTATCAGATGGTGATAAAGAGACGGTGGAGGATGAGGAGGAGCAGACAGCAGCTCGTGTGAAAAACATTCCAAAGAATCCCGTCCTCATTCTTCCTTGTGAAGGGCAAGAAAGGTCGTTGCACCATTCCCTTGAGTCGCCTCAGAAGGACGACCATCATGCATGCGGAGTGGGGGGGAATGCAGAACGGTTCTTTGGGTTCCAAGTGCCGCCGCTTGAGGGGAAGGATGGATTGGTGCATCACTCCTTTGGGGCGCCTCGAAAGGGGGACGGGAATGAGAAGCTGGAGCACAGCCGTTCAGAAGCCATGCTGCCAACACCACCGAGGCCTGTTGTGGTTGCTGCTGTGTCGGGCGGCTGTGCTGCTATGACCGATGGTTGTGCTTCTGTTACTGATGGTTGTGCTCCTGGCACTGATGGCTCTGCTCCTGTCGCTGATGGCTTTGCTCCTGTCACTGATGGCTCTGCTCCTGTCGCTGATGGCTTTGCTCCTGTCACTGATGGCTCTGCTCCTGTCGCTGATGGCTCTGCTCCTGTCACTGATGGCTCTGCTCCTGTCGCTGATGGCTCTGCTCCTGTCGCTGATGGCTGTGCTACTAAGGCTGACGGCTGTGCTGGTGTGACTGATGGCCGGTCTGCATCGCATGCTCCTGGGCTTCTCGCCCATTGGGATGCGCTGCAGATGCTTTTTAAGTTGACGTACGACTCATCCTTGGCTGACAGCTGTGCTGCATCCGATGCTCCATGGATTCAGCCTCAGCAGGATGCACTGTCGCAGCAGCAGCAGCAGCAGCAGCAGCAGCAGCAGCAGCAGCAGCAGCAGCAGCAGCAGCAGCAGCAGCAGCAGCAGCAGCAGCAGCAGCAGCAGCAGCAGCAGCAGCAGCAGCAGCAGCAGCAGCAGCAGCAGTTGCTGCTACAGCAGAAGAAACAGCAGCAACAACCGCCATCAAAGCAGCAGCAAACGCAACTCAAGCAGCAACATCATCATCAGTCACGCAATATCACGGCCTTGCTGCTGTCAACTGCCAAATCTGTGGAAGAACGCCTTGCAGCCCTAGACATTCTCAGGACTGTGCCTGCTGCTGTGCCTGTTGCTGTGCCTGCTGCTCTTTCCAGCCCTAGCGTCAGCACCTCACAACCTCTAACAAGTCAAGCCTCCATGTCCTTGTGCGGTGCTGCTGAAACGAGGATTCCTCATTCGCCCGTACCTGTGCCTGCTCATCGGCATCAAAAGCGCCCTGCATCTGCCATGGACACACCACCTCCTCCTCCTCCTCCTCCTCCTCATCCCCTTGCCCGTTCCCGTGCCTGTGGCTGTGCCTCACGGGTTCGGAGGGGAAATAAGCCCGACATGGCCTGTGTATTGTGGGCGTGTGAGTGCAGCAGCGAATCGGAGCAGTATGCCACGGGCGCAGTTTGGACCGAGCCAGCTGTATGTGCCTGCAAGGGTGCTTGTGCCCGTGGCTGTACCTCTGCCTCTGCCCGTGGCTGTACCTCTGCCTCTGCCTGTGGCTGCGCCTCTGCATCTGCCCATGGCTGTGCCTGCTGCTCTGCCTGCCAGCACAGGGAGGATGAGATGCATCAGGAGCCTCGTACCTCCACCATTCTTAAGGCGCCCTGCATTGCGGTGCTGCCGATTATCATTGAGCTGCTAACCATCATTGCCATGCCCTCGGCCACATGGCTTTGTGACGAGGAAGGTTCCGCAACGCCGACAACACCCGTGTCACCTATTCCCGTGACCAAGATTGGTGAGCTGCCCACCATCGTTATGCCATCAGACACGTGGCTTTGTGATGGGGAAGGTTCCGCAACACCTACAACACCCGTGTTACCCATTCCCACGACGAGAGCGAGCAGCATACGTTCTGACAAGCTAACCAGCATCTGTGGCGCGGGTTACAAGTCCTGCAGCACCAAGCCCTGCAGGACCGGTTGCAAGCCCTACAGCACAAGCTATGTGAAGGCTGAAGTGGCATGCCTCGAACAGCACTTCCTTTCTGTGCTTGCTCACCCTCACCCACCTGACTATGCAGCCAAACTCCAATACCGATTGGCTGAGAATAAAATGGCGAATGCATCAAAGGCTCGATCCTCCTCTGGTCAACTGCCACTTTTTGGCGATAACCTAACTGTTGCAGCTTTCATGGTTGATGGGGGCGTGTGTACGCGAGGTGCAGAAGCCATGGCCACTATAAGCGATGCAGATACAACACAAGAAGCTTCAGCTGGGCAACAGGTCCAAATCCCCCTACTGCCACAGGTCTCGAATCGCATAATGCCACTTGAACCCACGCAAGCGCCCCTGCAGGCAATGCTTTGTGCAGGCCCTATGGAGAGGTCACCCTTGAGCCGATGTGTTAAAGCACGCCTCCCAGCTAACTCAGTGCTTAGAGTGGGCTCAGTTCAACATGAAGTGTTCCGAATGCCAGCCCAGCAGGGAATGGTTGCGCCATCAGCACAGCAGGGAATGGTTGGACCCTTGATCCCGGCAAAAACATTTGCATTCCTTGGGGGGGCCAGCACCGCCCGTGTTTCAGACTTTGCAGTGGCTGGTGTGAGGCACAAACTTCAGTCTTGGCTCGATGGTGCCGCTTAAAAGAAAGGCCGTTTGTCGGAATTGAGGAGTGAACAGTAATGGCAGCATTGGTTTTCTGGTTGTTTTGGTGGTGTGCATTCATCTGTGTATGATTTGAATTGGATAATCTTGTTGGGGCTGCTTATGTTACTGTCTTGTACATAAAGGTTTAATCTAAATACAGGTACACAGAGTACTTCGGATTTGCAGGCACACCAAACATGGGACAGCAGTGCTTGTCATTTGTGGCAGAACCTTGTATGGATTTCGGTTTTTGTTAATGTCACGTTTCCACTGCCATATATGCCCATTGTGTGGACCCCCACTTTACAACCCCTCACCTATACTCCTTTGTGTCAGAATCTCGTCTGGCTCTCGATTTTTGTGAGCGCCACATTTGCACTACCGTATGTGCCCATTATATGGACCCCACTTTACAGCCTCTCATCACAGAAGGTCCCCCTATTCTCATACCGTACCAATGCTATATATAGTACCATGTCTCCATGCCCACCATCCCTAGTGCCATCCAAAACATCATCGTTAGTCCCATCTCCTTGCCAATCCTTCCTACCATCCCCCAAGCACATCCCAAGTCCCACACCCATTTCCACGTCTACAATCACATCCCATTCCTCTCATCCATTGTCACATGCCATTCCTCCCATCCATAGTCACATCCCACTCCTCCCATCCCCATACAACCTGGTCTCATCCCCATACTCATATCGAGTCCTATTCCCATACCCATCCAGGCCATGGTATCACCTGCCATCCTTAAACATCTTTGAAATTCACATGAACTATTGAACTCGGATCCGCTACGAGAAATCAATTCTCGACCAGGGGTGCATGTATGAATTATTGTCGTGGATTCGAATTTCGACTGTGATAAAGCACGAAAACTGCCACGAGCCACACATTTGGCATCGGGGCAAGATTTCCAAGGCGCCATTTTCATGGCGGTATGCCCACTTGACTGCGAGCAGCATTCACGGGGCACTATGGAATGCACCTGGCCATAGTGGATCAATCCCCCTACTAAGTTGACAAGGGCTCCAGAAAGAGACGTGAGCCCTACCAACCTGGAAGGGTTTCAGGAGGAAATGTGAGCCACGTGACCCTCACATCATCCTCCACCCCGTCTTCAAAGGGAGGTAGTCCGGACGTGAAGACGACATTTCCCAAATCTCGTCTTGGGTTTCATCGTTCGTCCCTCCCCTTCTCTCAGCCATGGGGAGTTTTACATTTCTCCACTTCTCAGGATGTTCCGGCCCCCACAATGTTCGCCCTTCACATGCTCATAAGGATGAAAATGGTTAGTGATGCTTTGGTGAACGCACTGCAACCCCTCCCGCTCATCCGGCTCCTCTAGCACTGCCTGCACTATCCCCAGCGTTACTGCTTCCCTCCAGATTCCCATACCTTTTTAAACCGACGAGTACAATGGATGTTTTTCCTCTCCCTTTCGATGGTGCCAAGACCTCCTTAGCTGAAGACGTCACCGTGAACGAAGATGACCCTGACATTGCCGTTCCGTCTTACCCGCTGCCATAGTTCCTATTTGACGTTCATCGCGAGGAAGAACAGTCTCCCACCAATGGTGATGCACAAGCCCCTGATTCCCAATGTAGGATTACGAATCACCATAGTGCATAACTGACGATGAAAGAAAAGAAACAGTAGATGCAGCGGATGCAAGACGAGATGTTGTCACTGCGTGCTAGGGCTCACATGGCTGGCGTCAAACCGATCAGCATCCTTAATTGGTAGAAGGTGGCGGAGCAAATCAGAAATGCCTCTTGGTACCAGCTTCGTCTCGGTGGTGGCAGTTGGTAGGCAAACTATCCCGACATGGAGGTGCCGGTCTACAAGCAGTTCCTCGCCCACCAAGCGTGTGAGCTGGCCTTCCAATCGTGTGGTTGTCCACCAGCCCACCAAGCGTGTGGGCTGAAACTCCAGCAGGCATGGAGCTGGGCGTCGATGAAGCACCGTCACCCCAAGGTCGACTAGCGCACCTCGCCATACTGGACGTAGTGCTTCCACGCAAGATGGGATCTCGCAGTTCGTGTGAAGACCAAGATTGGGCATGACTTCTGTCAGAACATATAGCTTACTTGTTTCTGTAGGCTATAGTGGGGTATCCCATAGGGGGTACAACACAATTAGGGTTTCCTATTTGTATTCACTTCACTTCATAGTCATTCATCCTCGTTCACACTTTCTCATGGAATCAGAGCAGGTCCCTTCTTAGGGCCTGTTCCTAGGGCCCACCGAAGCGCGCCCCGAGGCGCACATTTTTTTTTAGCGACCCTCCGTGTCGCCCTCCCCGTCGTGCTCCCGCTTAGGCCCCTCGTCGGCCCCCCCCCCCCCCCCCCCTTAGGCCCCTCGTCGGCCTCGCCTAGGCCCCTCGTCGGCCCCGCGTAGCCCCCGTCGGCCCCACTTAGGCCCCGCGTCGGCCCCACCTAGACCCCGTCGGCTCCTCGTCGGCCCCGCCTAAGCCCCACGTCGGCCCCGCGTAACCCCCCGTCGGCCCCGCTTAGGCCCCACGTTGGCCCCGCGTAGCCCCGCTTAGGCCCGTCGGCCCCGCTTAGGCCCCGCTTTGGCCCCGCGTCGGCCCCGCCTAGACCCCGTCGGCCCCGCGTTGGCCCTGCTTAGGCCCCGTCGGCCCCGCGTTGGCCCCGCTTAGGCCCCGCCGGCCCGCCTAGGCCCCACTTCGGCCCTACGCCGGCCCCGCTTCAGCTGCTGTCGGCCCCGCTACAGCCCGCCACTGGCCTCGCTACACCCCGCCACTGGCCCCGCTACAGCCTGCCACCGGCCCCACTACGGCCCGCCGTTGGCCCCGCTACAGCCCGCACCGGCCCCTGCTACAGCCCGCCGCCGGCCCAGCTACAGCCCGCCGCCGGCCCAGCTACAGCCCGCCCCCGGCCCAGCTACAGCCCGCCGCCGGCCCAGCTACAGCCCGCCGCCGGCCCAGCTCCAGCCCGCCGCCGGCCCAGCTACAGCCCGCCGCCGGCCCAGCTCCAGCCCGCCGCCGGCCCCGCTACAGCCCGCCACCGGCCCCTGCTACAGCCCGCCGCCGGCCCAGCTACAGCCCGCCCCGGCCCCGCTACAGCCCGC